GCGGGCCGTAGTTTGAGGACCGCTGCACTGGAGGAATGAAAGAGAAACATGTACAGCAATTATTTGCTTCATGTGCCCAGGTCCACTCACAAACGGACTGGGAACTCTTGGGTGGGAAGGGCCTACCTGTATCAGTTCATCTGTTCCTTAATGCCCAGTGAACATCAGCTCTTAGCAAATTTTCCTTGAAATAGTGAGTCATCCTGGGCTTTAGAAACAGCCATATCTGTAGATCATTTCTCCCTGACACATGGACAGCTCAGCCTTGGTCCTCCAGTAGATCCCCACTCTCTCTAAAACCTCTGGCACCTCTTCAAGGAACGCCCCCCCCCCCCAGGCCTGGGGTGCAGGTGCCCAGGGAAGCCCACCACACAGGAGCCATATCTCCCATCCGTTTGTCCCCAAGTCTAGCAGCGTTTTGGCTGGGCTCCACATCTCCCTGCACTCAGACTCGACCTGCAGATGGCTGGCAGAGACCTTGCCAGGAGTGGGCTGGCAGGCAGCTCTCTCCTTCCCAGGCAGACGTGTATGTGGCAAGTCTGTTTATCAGGCAACGCCTTGTTGTAGCCAGAGGTGGTGGCTTAACAGTGGCAGAAACGCCCGCATTGCCTCAGAGCCTCAAGTTACTCAGATGAGCCCTTGGCCTCAGCGGGCAGATAAGCACATGCCTTAGTGAGGGAGGCCTTGATCACGGGGCAGATAAGCTCAGGAAAGGATGAAAAAAAATCAACAACAAGAAGCTGAGCGACCCACTGTCGGAGGCTTTTTCAAGTACACATGGGCGTGTTTCTTGTCTTCGCCAACACACCGGGTGATGCAAAAGCTGTGAATTTAATTTAATTTGGTGGTCACGCAATCGTGGAGTGAGAGCATGTCAGAGCTGGAAGGGACTTTGGGGATTGTGTAGTTGAACCCTTTAATCTTCCAGGTGAGGACACTGAGGGCCACAGAGCTGTAGCGACTTGTTCAGGATCATCCAGCGAAGGTTTGGCATAGCTGGAACCAAACCCTGGGTCTCCAGACCCCCGGGCCTGCGATCTTTCCACCACATGGATTGCTTCACGGCTGCCACCTGATTGCTCAGGTGCGCACTGCAGGTTGTAATTGGGTGCCTAGATAGTCCTTTTTAATGACATAAATTTGCCTCTTTAGCCTCCAGAGTTAGACAAGTTCTCCCTCCCCTACCCCCCACCTCACACACACACACACACACACACACACACTGTTGGGGTTGACCAGTTAGTTTAAAGCAACAAGCTCTGGTGCTTTGGACCCCAACTGTTCCAGACACTGTTGTTTTATATGTAAAAGAACTGAGGTCCAGATCAGGGAGGTGACATGCTTAGGTGATGCAGCTAGAGAAAGGAAACATCTGGGTCTAAATCTCCTAGCATCCTGATTATAGTCCTTGGCACAAAGAGTGGATGAAAGCCAAGGTGTGGGTGAGGGTGTGCACAAGGGCACTCAGACTCTGTGCCTTCTCTTGCGGTTTTCCTTTGGGGGAAAAAATCCCACGTGTTACCTTAAGGACAGTTATGGAGTCTGGCAGCCCTTGCAATACTGAAGATGTCATTGTTTTTAGTAAACACTCAATAAATGATGGTTAGGTGGATGAATCCCTAGTGGTAGGGCATTCAAACCACAGTATATTTGTTTTCCTCTGTAAAACTTGCTCTCTGGGTTTAATCCATAAATAGAGTGAAGCAGAACAGTGTAGTTCTAGTTTAAAATAATTTCTATATGAAAGTGATAAAACTGTCAATAGCAACAACAAATTAATACCAACCCAAGAATCAAAGCCCGGCTGGAGTGGCTCAGTTGGTTGAGCATTTTCCCATGCACTGAAAAGTTGCTTTTTCAATTCCTGGTCAGGACACATACCTGGGTTTCAGGTTTGATCCCTAGTGGGGGAGCATATAGAAGGCATCCTATTGATATTTCTTTCTCTTCTCTCTCTCTCTCTCTCTCTCTCTCTCTCTCTCTCTCTCTCTCTTTCTCTCTTTTCCTCTCTTTAAGCATGTCCTCAGGTGAGGATTAAAAAAAAATCATAAATTAAAAAAAGAATCATAAATACAATTGGTACATTGCAATCTCAAATGACCTGTCACTGCAAGATGATGTCAAACTTAGTTAAAAATGATATATAAATGTACTTATTAAATACTTGCATGGGATTAAAAAATCATTATATAGAGATATATTTCTTATGAAAAGTAATAGTTCTTTGCCACATCACCCCTTCATTCTAGTCACTTACTCCCGAATAAACTGATTTTAATTCTGTCAACTACTTTTGTTTGCTTATTCTTTTGCCTTGGTGATTAAAGCCACATGTTGAACACTATGTCATATTCATCTTTCTTGTTCATTTTCTCCCTTGTATTGCATGAGAATAGCCTCAATAAATTTGCTTCTAAATATTTATATGTCTAAGATTATCTCTATTCTTCTCTCATGCTTTATTCTACTCTTATCCTCTAGGGATAGTTTAGCAGGGTATGAAATTTCAAGTTAACACTTATCTTCTTTTAGAACTTTGGAGGAATTATACTATTGAGTTCTTAGATCCATTGGTGCTCATGAAAAGAATAATATTGGTTTTGTTACTTTTCTTTTGAAGATGACCCCTGGATGATTTGAAGGAATCTCTCTTGTTAAAATGAAGGTAAACTACTAGAAAACCCCATAAACCTGCAAGAGATTGGAGCATCAGCAGAAAATTATAAAATTTTATTATAATGTAGTTATGGGTCTATTAAAACATTGTACTGGCCACTCAATTGGCTTGATTATTCTAATGGCTTTTGTCCTTTACCTCTGAGAAATTCTCTTGTATTATTATTATTTTGAAAAGTTTTTCTCATCTTTGTTTTAACCCATTTTATCTTTCTAAAATTTTTATTAGTTAGATGCTGAATCTCTTAAATTACTCTGCAATGCCTTTTGTATTTATCTCACATTTCCATCTCGTGGCTTTTTTTGTTGTGCTCATTAGCTTTCCTTAATGTTACTATCCAACATTTTTATTGAGTTTTCTTCTTTTCTTGGAGATAATATATTTAACTTCCCAGAACCACTAACATGTCAGAGTTGGCCAGGAGAGAAGCTGGGGTCAGGGGTGAGTGTTCCCAGATGATGCCCCGTGTCCACTGGTATCTATGACCAGTCCTGTCTCCCAGACATGATGCGGTTCCATGAAAACATAGAAGTTATTCTAGAGGATGTGCTTATAATTATCATCAAACAGTTTTATTGCCGAAACCGGTTTGGCTCAGTGGATAGAGAGTCGGCCTGCAGACTGAAAGGTCCCGGGTTCGATTCTGGTCAAGGGCATGTACCTGGGTTGTGGGCACATCCCCAGTAGGAGATGTGCAGGAGGCAGCTAATCGATGTTTCTCTCTCATCGATATTTCTAACTCTCTATCTCTCTCTCTTCCTCTCTGTAAAAAATCAATAAAATATATTTAAAAAACAAAAGCAAAAACAAACAAACAAACAAACAAAACAGTTTTATTATTACTAGAGGCCCAGTGTGCAATTGAAATCATGTGAGGAGGTGCCCTGTGGGGGCCGGGACCCGGGCCTGACTCGCAGTGTCCCCTGCCCCCCCTGCCTGTGTCCGCTCCAGGGCCACCCGAGCCACCGCGCCAGCTCGGGCAGGCCCCCTGTCTCTATCTCCATCTCTGCTCCCGGCCTCACCTGTGCGTGCAACCTCCTCCTGTCTGGTGGTGACCTGTTATGGCTTCCCGGCCTAATTTGCATATTACCTCTCTCTCTCTCTCTCTCTCTCTCTCTCTCTCTCTATATATATATATATATATATATATATATATATAAATTATTATTATAAAGAAATCCTAATACCCAAACAGATTAAGTTTGATTACCCCCCCACCCCCAGAGGTCTGATTAGGAAAAAAGTAACTACCACGGGGAGTAAGTGATTTGGGGTGTGTGGCTAAAGAGGGATGTATGTGGAGAAGAACACCTGATAAAAATTCTAGCCAGTGGGTGTTCAGCTGATGGGAGGTATAACAAGGAAGTGGTAGAATACGGACAGCTAGCCGGTCTCACATGGGGAACATGTGAGAGCAACTTAGGGTGTGGTGGTAAACGAGGTAGTAAAGGAAGATGAGGCTAGAGAGGGAGGTTGGCTGCATTATAGTTCCCCAATGGACCATCTAAGGACTTCTCTGTTCAGTGCCAGGGTTATGTTCTGTGTGTGTATGTGGTGTATGTGTGTGTGTGTGTGTGTGTGTATGTGTGTGTGTGTGGTGTATGTGTGTGTATGTGTGTGTGTATGTGTGTGTGGTGTATGTGTGTGTGTGGTGTATGTGTATGTGTGTGTGTGTGGTGTATGTGTGTGTGTATGTGTGTATGTGTGTGTGTGTGGTGTATGTGTGTGTGGTGTATGTGTATGTGTGTGTGTGGTGTGTGTGTGTGTGTATGTGTGTGTGTATGTGTGTGTGGTGTATGTGTGTGTGTGGTGTATGTGTGTGTGTATGTGTGTATGTGTGTGTGGTGTATGTGTGTGTGTATGTGTGTGTGGTGTATGTGTGTGTATGTATGTGCATATCCATCTCGTTCACTCTTTGAGACCTGAGTTTTTGTAAAGAAGGTCTCTTGGACTCCCTACTTTGAATAGGCTCTGGGTTTTGTTTTCTGTCCCCTGAGCCTCCTGAGGCTCTGGAAATGCAGCAGAACAAGTTCTCCAGGTATACCAGATGTCCTCAGGGTGAAAGTGGCCTCACAGCGTTTCTTCCTTCCATAACTTTGATTTTGACCCAACTTCCTACTATTTTACCAGCTATTTCAAGCACTTAAGGACATGTTTTATACATTTTACCTAGAGTTCTTCATGGTTGCTGGCACACATGGTTGGCTCTCTCACTGGGGATGGACCCTCCTGTTGGCGGTTCTATTACTAGGATTTCCTTATTTCTAGAGCGGAAGGCAACACCCTTTCTCTGCTAACCTGTTGTGAGGATGGAATGGTCCTAATGGGTGTGATATTTTTGCAATGAGCCTCGCTCTCGTTTGGACCATGTTTGGAGTTTCCACAATGCTCCTGCATCCAACCTCACGTAGAGCTCATGGCAGGGGAAGACTTACTGCCCTCATTTTACAGCCGGAAGTCTGAGCAGGAGGTAAGAGAAATAAGTAGTCCAGGATCGCCCAGGCAGGGGCAGCAGAAGCAATGGAGGTTCCATTAGCTGTTCTTTTCACGGGATCTTCCTGTGACCCTGAACCAGAAACCATATGCAAGTGGGATTCCCTTAAGCCAGGCAGGTAGGGCTACCCACTCATCTCACCGGAATCCCAAAGCTGACTATGGCTTGGTCACTCAGGCTCTGTGTTGTGTCATCCAGGGTGACGGCGAGGATGTCTCCATGGACGGGCTGCCCCCTCCTCTCCCAGTCAAGGCCCAGGTGAGCTGCTCAGGACGGAAGCTCGGCTTCTTGCTGTCCATATCCCATCACAGGTGACCGGGAAGGAGGCTCTAAGTCCTGAACATTCTCTCCAACTCTCTCCTCTAGGTCGAAAGGGCGGATGACTTGGTGGACACGGAAGGCGATGCTGTGCGTGGAGGTGCCTTAACAAACAACTTCAGGCTGAAGCCAAAGTCTGGGTCTTAATCAGTCTATGTGAGACCCATTCCACTGAGGACACCAGGGCAAGCCTCCAACCCAGCGGTTCTCAACCTGTGGGTCGTGACCCTTTTGGAGGTCGAACAACCCTTTCACAGGGGTCGCCTAAATACATCCTGCATATCAGATATTTACATTACGATTCATAACAGTAGCAACATTACAGTTATGAAGTAGCAGCGAAAATAATTTTATGGTTGGGGGTCACCACAACATGAGGAACTGTATTAAAGGGTCGCAGCATTAGGAAGGTTGAGAACCACTGCTCCAACCTTTACGACCTAATTGACTCTCTTCCTGCCAAAGCAGCAACGGGGTGCACCTGCACCCCCAGGCCCCCAAGAAATTACTTATGAGAGGACAGGTTCCCTGCAAGAGCATCCGGAGAAGGGGAAAACAAGGGCTGCGAGAGGGGGACCGGGAGGAAGGGGGGAGCGAAGAGGCAGCCAGTCGACCTGGCACTGGGCACTGAAGGCTTAACATCAAATGCAGCCAGAAATCCATTTCCACAGTTTCATCGGCCGTTCTGGACGCCACGTTTCAAAGGAAAAGATTGGAATTCAGAGACGAGAGGTTCCCTTTGTTCTCTTGCCCTCCAGCCCTTGGTGCCAGTGTGGATGGCACCACAGGGAGAGGGTGAGATCAAAACCCCTCCTCGCTCTGCTACCTGCCCCCGGCGCTGGCCCCTGGCTCGCGGAATGAACCAGCTCGGCTATAGATTGACAATGCCCTGTCAATTATAATCATTTATCTTGGCGTGCGGAGTATCGGGACGCTTACAGGAGCAGGGGCTCAGCGGGCCCGGAACAGCCAGAATAAAATTATACTGCATGGTAATCAGAGCGAGGACACCGCTCACACAAAAGTTCACTTAACTGTCAGAAGGACGGATAGGATTTTGCATCTCACTTTCTGTGCACAGGCTGTCTGTGCTTCCATTTGGGTCAGTTTCTGCTGACTCTGACGTAACAGGGAGTCAGGGGCCTGTGTCAGTGGAGGGGACCGTCTGGTGATTGGGAAGATTGGGGGTGTTTCGTTGTTGCCGTAGGTTGGGGACCTGGGGATGGGTGTGCAATGACCCATGACAGGAAGTACAGGATTGGAGGGGAGTGCTGTGCCCCGACTTCATGCCTGTGTGAGCCAGACAAGCTGTTCCACCTGCAGGGTCTCCCAGGCCTTCGACATGATGGAGAAACAGAGTGTCCGGCTCCCTTATCCGGCCTCCTGGCAGGCATGCGTTTCATCTTCCCCGAGTGGTGTTATCAGCCCCGATTAGAACAGGCAGAGTCTGCCCCGAGGATCCCCCTTTGGGTGGGGCGGGGGAGTGAGGACCTCTGGGCCTCAGGGTGCGCTCGCTCCGCTGGCACCTCTCCGGGAAGCATCTGGGGGGACCTGGCCTGGAGGGTGGGCTGTGGACAGCAGGTGCAGTGCAGGAGCCCGAAGCCTGGACCAGGGCAGGAGGGATGAGGGCAGGAGGGACTAGGGCAGGAGGGATGAGGGCAGGAGGGACCAGGGCAAGGAGGGACCAGGGCAGGAGGGACCAGGGCAGGAGGGATGAGGGCAGGAGGGACCAGGGCAGGAGGGACCAGGGCAGGAGGGACCAGGGCAGGAGGGACCAGGGCAGGAGGGATGAGGGCAGGAGGGACCAGGGCAAGGAGGGACCAGGGCAGGAGGGACCTGCAGGAGGAGACCACGGAGGAGGCAGTGTGGCCTCAGACACCAGGCTACAGAAACCGGGAGTCGCCAAGGCCCGTGGGTGCCGAGCCGAGGTGGGTGTGGGCAGAGCCCGTCCATCCTCCCTGAGGCCAGAGCCCTCGGCTCCTTCCCTCTCAGCCCCTCAGACAGTGTCTGGAGGGAAGGAAAGGGGAGAAGCCCTGGTCAGAGTGGGCACTTCCCCAAGGCGACTGTTTAAACCAGGTGACCCCCAGTTACAATGAGCGGACCTTCTGCGTAGGAGTCTCCGGGAGCTAAACCAGCCCCTGCTGCACGGGGATGTGGTCCCCGAACACATGTTGACCTGCACGTGGGTCAGTTCCTCTGCTACAGCCTGAGAGGAGGAGGGGGCAGAATCTAGGAAAACGACATAAAAATAGCACCCACCCCCCACACCGGAAGCATCAGTCCCCTTGCTGAGCGACCCTCTCAGGGGACATGGGCCGAGTGGCTCTAGACCAGGCATAACCTGCTCAGAGGCACAGGCCTTGGTGCTTTGCCGCAGAGGGTGGGGAGCAGGCGGCAGAGACGGGTGTGCCTGTCCTGGGAGCCTGGGCGGGGTGGGGGCCACTGTGCAGTGGCCGAAGTGGGGAGGGCAGCCTGAGCTGGACCCCTGAGGGGACGCAGGGGGAACACATTTCACATCAGGTCTGGATCCGGGCTGCCAGACCTCCAGGGTCCCGTCTCATCCTCGCCGCCATATGCAACGCTGGGCGTGTGTGTGTGTGTGTGTGTGTGTGTGGGGGGGGGGGGGTGGAGGGTAGGGGGGGGAGGGGGCTACCTGCACTTTACAATCAGGAAACAGAGGCTCCAGAGGGCAAGGCCGCCCAGCCAGTGAGCGGCAGAACAAGCAGCCTCTTTCTTGCTCCTGGGGACACCTCTGGCGCCTTCTCCATGCCTCGGCCCCGGTGCCCAGCCCCTCGGTTTTCAGGGCTGGGGGCCAATTTCCTGCAAGACTTAGCCCTGGGCAGCTGTGGCCAGCTGTTTAGGAAAAGGGCTTTAGGAGGCCAAAGGCTGGCCTCCCCAGGCTTACTGGGTTTCTTCACTTATGCTTCTGACCATGAGAGACCCTGGCAGCTGACGCCGGACAATGGGTGGGGGTGGGGGTGGCCCGTTCAGCCTCGCTCTCTTCCCATAAGAGGGGTGGGCTGGACGGAGGTCCCCTAAGGGTGCTTCTCCATATAGATCATGGCCACGGCCATGCCGAACTCACAGGCTGCGGTCATAACTAATGGCGATGCTATAGGATGAGCGTGGTGTCACCCCTTAGCCATAGAGTCTTAGGGCCCAGAGAGGTTAAGCTTCTTGCCCCAGGTCACACAGCACTCCGGGGGCTGGTCTGGGTTAGAACACAGCTCTCCTTGCCACCCCCTGTCCTTTCCCCTCGCTTTTCAGTCCTCAGACATGAAACAGCTCGCTCCCTGGGACCTTTCTAATAACATTTCCTTTCTCTAATTCATACACCACAAATGTACTCCATAAATTAAAAAAAAAAAAAGTCATGCAGCCAGTAGGAATGAATGAAGCCATTGTAAAACGGCATGAATGGGAATTAAAATCTCAAGCTACATTTTTCTTTTGGGGGTGGGGGTGGGGTGGGGACACTAAATCTCTCAGGGGCAAGCAGGGTGCATTATGTCGAGAAGGGGAAGAGGCAGACGCCCGCCCGGGAACCGTGCCCTTTGAGAGGGTGAAACGGGAGTGTCGGGGTTTGTAATCACGGTCCCCAGAGGTCACGCAGAGCAGCCACGAACAAGGGCCCTTCTATGTGGGGTCAGGCGGCAGGGGACGGTGGCAGTGTCAGCATCGCCACGGCCGCAGGTGGGACATAGGCAAAGGGCTGAACTGAGACATTTTCCATCCTCTATCCTCCCTCCCTTCCTCCCCCCTCCCCCCTTCTCTCCCTCCCCCCTCCCCATCTCCCTTGTTTCTCCCGTCACCTGCTATGCCCAGACATGTGTGGTGCTCCGTCAGCAACAAGCCCATCTGCAGGTCCTCTGAGGCCCGGGGTCATTTCCCAAGCTGCCCCTTCGCCTCGGACGGGCCACATTCCTGCCCCCTCTCAGTGTCATCGAAACTCCTGCTTCTCCAGGGACCTTCCAGCTCCTGCCTCTCTGAGTACCTCCCACCCACAGACTCAGCTGCACTTCCTGGGCGATGCGCGGCCGGGCGGGCGGCACACACATTCCCTGGCGCCCTCTCCCCGCAGTGCCGTGTGGCGGTTGGAGTGGGGTTAGTAGCACAGCCCCTGGGCTCCATGTGACGCGCGCTCTCACTGATGGGTGAAAACCTCTCCACGCGCACGTGGAAGCCACCATCTCACGGCGGAGAGCGATGGGCAGAGAACCGGGTGCAGGGAGAGCTCATCAGTGAGTGGTGAGGCAGAATTTGAACCCAGGGCTGTCAAATTCCAGCACTCCCATCCCCCCTCCTCGAACCCCCCCTCCCCCCGGGGCCAGGCGCCCACAGTGCCTGTTTGACCCTTGACATTAGCCCTTCCGAGGTTCCTGTTTCAGTTATTTGTGACCACCTGGCACCGGGGTCGAGTGGAAAGATTCTGTGACTTGAAGTCTCCCAGCTGCGCTTGTATTAATAGAACTCGTATTAATATCCCAGAGCACCTGCCCGGGGCACGCCCTGACCCGAGAGCTTTACAGACCAAGGAACCCCACCACCATGAGGAGGGCGCTGCCCCCCAGTGCCTGTCCCAGGTGGGAGACCAGGGCGCAGGTGGGTCGTGCCACATGCCCAGCTCGCCCGGCTCGCTCAGCTGGCCCCGCGGCAGGGCTTTCCTCTCAGGTGGAGCCTTTGGGGTGAGGCTTAGAATCAGACAGGGCGGGCAGGACCCAGGCCCTCCTGGCCAGGAGCCAACCTGGAGCACCTGGAACGAAGCCACAAGTGCCGACGTCACTGCCAACAGGTGCCATCCTTGGGGGGGCCTGCCCTTGGGAGCTGGGTGGATGGAGGAGGCTGTCACAGGTGCCCTGCCTGCCTGTTACCTAAACAAGAAAGATCTGCGCAGGAGAGAGAACCCCGAGGGGAGACGGACGTGGACTTTGTTTGGCTTCCAGTTAAATCTATGGCTCAGCTCCTCCGTGCTGCTGGGCACCTCTGCTAGTCCAGTGGCTCCTCCATTCTGCAGCCTTGTCTGCACAGTGGGTGTGTCTGTGCAGTGGGGGTGCCCCTGGGAGCTGACGTAGCTGGGGTTGTACCACTAGGACAGCACTGCCAAGGGCATGGCTGGGCCGGAATCCTTGCCCCTCGGGTAGTCAGTGAGGGTTCCTCTGATGGCATCTCCGGCCCCCAGGGAACCGCATCGGCCTGAGATACACATGGCTGCCGAGGGACCCTGGGCTCAGCTGAGCGGATGTTAATGGAATGTTCTGGGGAGAGAGAACCAACACGGGGGTGGGGGTGGGGACGCCTGCAAAGCCAGTGGTGTGCTGCATTGAATGTGACTGAGTCCTGAGAGGCTGCCACTGGCTTCCCATTATATGGATGAGAAGACTGAGGCCCAGAGGCAAATCCAACTTGTCCCACAGCAAGATATGCCCGGAGGCCAGGTCTCTCAGGCAGAATGCGGGGCCATTCCTGGCTCCAGGTTGGGGAGGGACATCGCTGGCTTGAACACACCTTCAAATCAGCATGTCGGGCCCCAGCCGTACCCCAGAGCTCCCCTCTCTCGGCATATGGGCCGTAGTGCCTGGCTCTCCATTTGCTCGATGCTCAGGGGGAGCTGTGGACAAAATAACCGAGCTACGGAGGACACCCTCAGAGCGCAAAGCTGACTTCCCCAGAAACTGCAACACGTGTCTTCTGATTTTCCTGTTGGTTCTATGAAAACATTGACTGTGATTCCAGACCAAATGAAGGGCATGTTGTCATGGTAACCGTCAAACCATTCTTTTCTTGAACCCTTCATAAACACGACTCCCCGTGTCTTCCACTTTTTAAATCTCATTTTCTGCTCATGAGAGTGCAGGCCAGCGCCCTCCATTTCCTCTGCAGCACATCTGCACCCAGCAAAACCATCCTTCAAGGCCCATGTCCTCCTCCTCCGAGAAGTCGCCCCAGATTACACCCAGCTCTCTTAATAAGTGGTGCATTGTCCCTTCCACTGATGCTCACTAAAACCCTTTTAGTTAGTTGTTCACTTGTTTATTTATCTAATCCTTCATTCAACAAACATATGCTCAGCAGCTACTCCACAAAGGCCTTGTGTCTGAGGCGGGGAACACCACAAAGTTAGGAGCCAGTCCCTGGCCTCGAGGAGCTCATAAACTCTGGGAGGGGCATTGACCCAAGCATGTAATTCAAATCTGGGGGAGGCAGAACCCTCACTGGGCACGCATGGCACTGCGGGCAGTTCCCTTTGTGGGGTCTCCCCAGAGAAGGAACAGATGACCTGGCACTGACGGGTGAGCCCGAGCTCCCAGGGCAGGCCGGGTGGATGGTGACCTCCAACCTCCCACTGCCCGATGGTGCTTCCTGGGCACTTCAGTGCCGCCAACACCTGTGCAGCCCACTCTGCCACCCTGCAGGTCGTCCTCCGTCTGTCGCCTCCAAGCGCCTGTCCGTGGCCCTCTTGGGCCATGTCTTTGTTTTCTGAGTTGGCCTTAACCCAGTTAAATAGTGGCTCCCTGAGGACAGAGTGTATTTCCCATCTTTGCACCATGCAGGGCCCCCCACAAAGTGGCACTTGACTCATGAATAGAATGTTCCGACCATCAGAGAATCCTATATAATAAAGATATGATATGCAAATTGACCATTGCGCCCTTGCACAAGATGGCCACCCCCATGTGGTCACAAGATGGCCACCACAAGATGACCGGCAGGGGAGGGCAGTTGGGGGCAATTGGGCCAGCAGGGGAGCAGTTAGGTGTTGATCAGGCTGGCAGGGGAGCAGTTAGGGGGCAATCAGGCTGGCAGGCAGAAGCAGTTAGGGGCAATCAGGCAGGCAGGCAGGCAGGCAGGCAGGCGAGTGGTTGGGAGCCGGCAGTCCTGGATTGTGAGAGGGATGTCTGACTGCCGATTTAGGCCCGATCCCACTGGGCCTAAACTGGCAGTCGGACATCCCCCAAGGGGTCCCAGATTGGAGAGGGTGCAGGCTGGGCTGAGGGACACTCCCCCCCCCCCCCCCCCAGTGCACAAATTTCACGCACCAGACCTCTAGTGTAATATAATTCATAATGGTTCCTAAATGCTAGTACAGGGACCCACGACTTCAGAATCACATGGAGGAGAATTTAAAAAGTAAGATGCACACCTGGTTTCACCCTGGGACGATCTGATTCAGTGAACCTGTGATCAGGATGGAGAGTCCTGTGTTTTTCCATACTTTCTGGGTGTGTCTGATGACAGTAACTCCCTCTTCTAGGGCTACTGCTAGTGTGGGCACTGTCCATCTCAGTTCACACTTGTAACCGCCAGATGAGGCAGGTACAACCCCAGACTTCTGCAGGTGGAGAGAGACACAGGGAGAGCCTGGGAACCTGCTCAGGTCACCCAGCTGGGCCATGCTCTGACCCCAGGGGGACAGCCCCACAGCCCCTGCTCCTTGGGCTGTGTGATACTTCTAGTCCCAGAGTGGCAGAGCCTGGGAAATCTGGAAATACTGGATTTAAAATGGTCCTTAGCCCTGGCCAGCGTGGCACAGTAGGTTGAGTGTCATCTTATGCACTGAAAGGTCACTGGTTCAATTCCTGGTCAGGGCATGTGCCCGAGTTGTGGGTTCGATCTCTGGTTGGGATGCATACAGGAGGCAACTGATCGATGTTTCTCTCTTTCTCTCCCCTTCTCCCTTCCTCTCTCTCAAATCAATAAAAACATAAAAATTTAAATGGTCCTTAAGGGTCACCTCCTTCAGTCTTCCCATTTTAGAGATGGAAGCACTGAGTCCCCAAGGGGCCAGCAGACTCGCTGACAGCGTCCTTGGAATCAGCCAGAGGATTCAGACTGTGAGGTCCTTGTCTGCCCTTCAGGGTGCTACCACCGACTTGTAGGGATCTGTTCCCATCTGCAGCAGGCAAGTCACTGATGATGATGATAATAATATTGATGATGATGATGATGATGATGATAATGGCAATATTGCCACCCCACTGGGCCCAGGCTGGTGTGTCATACTCTGTGCTCCTTATTTTGGGGGCTCTGTCTATTCTGAGTCTCTGAGTGCCCCTGAGAGAAGAGGGGCCTTTCTTAAGGAAGACGGACAACTCTAAGGCGCGGCTCTCAGCTTGGGGAGGGTGTGGTTTTGGACCACCTCCCTCCCCCCCCCCCAACCCCGCGGCATTTGGCGATATCTATAGATGTTTTTAGTGGCCACTTTAGCGACTGGAGTCGGGGTTGGCACTGGCTTTAGGCGGCAGGAGCCAGGGATGCTGTTAGGTGCACAGGCGGCCCTCCTGCGAAGCTCACCTTCCCCGACACCCACCGCCCAGGCCCAGCACCCTGCTGCAGGGCAGCCTGGCTCTCCTCCTCACTGGGCTCCTAAAGGCGGGGCAGGGGGTGCTGCAAAGCCATCAGCCCACTCACCCCTTTCATGGCTGAGCACCTTGCTGGGGTTTCAGGTCAGTTAACCGCCCTCCCTCCCGCCCCGATCTCCCTCCCCTGAGCGGGGCCAGTGGCACCCCCCTTGCAGGTCCTTTGACCACGTGATGTTCCTGCAGGCAGTGTCCGGAGGCCAGGACACACGTCCCCAAAGGCAGTGGTTCGTACGGCAAATGGGGTAAGAGGCTCCCAGTGTAGGCTCCGGCTGGGCCATTTGTCACCCTGGCAGTGAGCTCCTGCCATGTCCTTATCTCCTTGGTGGGCACAGGGAGACGCTATCTCTCAGGGGGGATGGGACATGGACAGGAGACAGCTGGGCGGGGAGCTGGGCTAATTAATTCGTTCCATAACGTAATGGTGCCCTTGCCGCTCTCCTGGGGTTGAGGGCTGCAGGGCAGGGCACGGCCCACTGCTTCCCACGCCAAATGGACAGATCCAACAGGTGTGGCCGGATCTGGGGAGGAGAAGGGGGAGGAGGTGAGCGGGAGGGACGTTGGGTAACCGCCGGGTAGAGCAGATGGAAGTGCTCATCTCGGTGAGAATGCGGACATGAGGCCGGGCCGGGAGGGCACGTCCTGCTTTGGGGGGGGGGGGGGCGGGGGAGGGTGGCGAGGAGGGAACAGACCTGCCACATGTTAATTTGGAACCGGTGCCTCCGGGAGGGATTTAGACACAGTCAGGCTGCTCTGTGCAAATAGCCCCCCTGCCCGGCAGCTGTCAGAGGAGGCCTCCGCAGAGGAGGATGGCTGGGGGCGGGGGGAGTGGTCTCTGGCCCAATCCTGGCCCCACACAGCCTCATTTCCCTGCTTCCAGAAGGCACCCCGAGGTCAGGAGGTCAGGTGGGGCTTTCCCCTGCCTGCAGAGGAGAAGCTGCCGCACTCAGGGGCAGCGACCTGCGCCCATCACACAGCTGCCCGGGCTGAGCCAGACGGGAACCCAGGCGCCATGGCTTCCAGGCCCCGTTCTCGGCTGAAGGGATGCCCGGCTGACAGTGGGTCTCACGCATAGTAGGTGCTCAACAAAAACCAACTGTGTGCAGATTGCACTGAGGGGCAGCAGGCACATGAAGGCAGAACAAAGGCAATCCCAGGAGTAAGAAGGAATACGTTTAACAAACAAAACCCCCAACGGTCACCCAGTGGAGAAATTTCCAGAACATTCTTTCCTGTGGCGTTTGGGAGCTTTTGTTCGCTGTGTCACGTGAGCACAGGCTCGCCCTTGTCCTCGTTCGTTTCCGGGGACCTGGGATGACCACCGCGTCCTGCGGGTGGGGACAGTGGCTGGAGCTGGAGCTGAGTGTAGGTCTTGAGGAGCACTGGGCCCCCACCAGGCCCTGTCCACTCTTTCCCTGAGGTTAGGGCTGTGGTACAGAGACCACCGGTTCTGGGCCGGGTCGCAAAAAGAACTTGGCCTTGTTCCCCAAGCCTGGCCCTGGTGCTGGGCTCCTGGACCTGGGGGCGTGGTGTGCTCCTCGATCTTATAACACGGCCGGACCCCATGTTGCTAGCAGACACACGGATGCACCAAACGGAAAGGACCCCAAATCCCGGGGCGTGTTCTTGGCCTCCCTGCCCCCCAACTGATTCAATAGGAAGACTCGCCTTGTCAGGGCCTGAGCCAGAGCTCGCAGTGGAGGCAGGCTGGCCTCGCCTCGGGGCTGGACAGAGCCAGGCCTTCATCTGTGACTCAGGGGCCTCATCTCTAAAGTGGGCAGTAAAGGCTAGAAACACCGACTCGGAGCACCTGGGAGACGTCGGTAAATCGCAGCTGCTCTCGGAGGCGTTTAGGGAGGCATCCGTCCTATCCCCGGAGAAAGTGAAGAAAGTGAGCGCACAGCTGCCCGCGCCGCCGCCCCAGGCCTGGAATGCGGGCCTTTGGGTTTCTGGCTGAGCGGGGAAGGCTCACACTTCTCTCTTGTGCTTTTGAATCAACAGCTCCCTCTGATCTCAGCTGCCCTCTCTCCCCGGGAGCACGATTTCAAAGGATTTCTCCACGGAGAGAAAGCAAACCTCAATCATCTTTGTGCACAAAACACCCACCCAGGCTATTTGTCTCCGTCCTGAGCGCCTGGCACGGGGCCCGAGAGGAGCGCTGGGAAGCGGTGCTTAGCGAAGAATGCTGTCATCCGCGGGGCTCACTGTCCGCCGCCCCGCAGCCCCGCCCCTGTACTCTGCCCCGGGTTCTTGGCAGCCCCAGGTAACCGCAAGACAAGTTTTATCATCTGTTAAACCTGTCGTTTGGGGGAAAAAAATGACTTCAATAAAATATTTCAACAATTATAGTCCATTTTAATTAGGTGTGTGCCACATAATTATAGATTTTAAAAAATGTGTAGGGTTTCAAAACCCAGCACCCCGGCCATGCGGGGCTAGCTGTGCTCCCTCGGAATTTCCAGGGCAATCTCCCCCCACCCCCCAAGCCCAGGAGCCCTGCATACCTGGCCGGCCCACGCCCTCCCCACGGCTCTGCCGCCTTTGTTCACCATTCTTTCCACTTTTGTCTGGAAGCTCTGGTCCTGGCAGGTGGGATGGGTGTCCGGGGGCCTGAAAGCCTGGAGCATTGGTAGTGGGGTGTCGGGAAGGTGACCCTGGGAGTCTGGAGGTCTGGGGTCTCCTTCTGGCGCCCTCAGCAGCTGCTGGGTGACCCTACGCACTTGCTACCCCTCTCTGCCCTTCTTCAAAACAAGAAAACTAGACCATCATTTAAAAAAAAATTTTTTTTGGGGGGGGGGCGTGCAGGGAGAGAAACCCACTTTTGGAGTTAAATTCTGAAAGAAAAATCCAATATGGAAACAGTTGAAAATAGAAGTCTTTGGGTCAAGAAGGGCATGGTCCCGACCTTCCCTGGTGGCCCCCGTAGGACCTTAAAAGTAGCCGCCTTTGACAATGTCTGGAAAGGTGCTGTCTGAGATCCCATGACAACTTGTCCTTCGACACACGTTCCTGGGCGTGAGAGGTGCACCAGCCCCGACCTAGGCTCTGGACGGCCCGCCGAGCCCCCCCGGCCCAGTCCCCAGTCCCCAGTCCTGACGCTCCAGGTGGCTTTCTGCCCTGTGGGCACAGACCGGGACACGTGGGCTGGCCCCGCACACGCTCTTCCCTTGTCAACCTGTGAGCACTCCACAGAGGTTTCAGAATAACCCCGTGCGGGGTCACAACCCCACCTGTAGGTGAGGCTCCCCAGGCAGGTACAGTCCCCGAGGTCCCCAGCTCCTCAGAGGCGGATCTGGAATTGAATCTGGGGTCCTGTGGCTCCAGACCCAGGACCTAGGCCAGGACCCCGCCTCTTGCACCTTTGTCCACAGGCAGCTGAGGTAGGGGTTCCCCTTCCCGGGCCCACACTTTGAGGGACTGTCTTTGCCACTCACTCCACCTTGGGAGGTCCCCCATGCCCTCGGGACACGGTGTCCAGGGAGACCGCTCTGATCATTCCCTACACATTTTGGAACAAACATATATATTTGATTTCAGAGAGGAAGGGGGAGGGGGAGAGAGAGAGAGAGAGAGAGAGAGAGAGAGAGAGAGAGAGAGAGAGAGAGAAATATCAATGATGAGAGAATTATTGATTGACTGTCTCCTGCATGGCCCACACCGGAGATCAAACCTGCAACCGGGGCCTGTGTCCTGACCAGGAATTGAACTGTGACCTCCTGGTTCCTAGATCGATGCTCAGCCACTGAGTCACACCAGCTGGGCATCCCCTGCACAATTTGCCTTGAGTCCCTGTGCCCCGAAGTGCCTCGCCTCTCCTTTCTCCAGGAGGCGGGAGTCCGTTCATGCCCGTGGTTTGCTTTCTGGAGGCTTGGCTCCTGGTTGCCTGGGCTCCTCTGTGAGGAGAGGGGTGTCAGGTGGGGGGGGGGGGGCTGTGTCCTCACAGCCTGCGCCGACCTCCTCGAGGGAAGCAGTGCCGGGCACACTGCAGGATGGGGCTTGTTTCTGGTGTGAGTGTATGTGTGAGTCAATGAATGCAGTGGCTGAGGGAGCGCATAGATGGTGGAGGATGAATGGATTAACAAATACATTACAGACGTGAGTCAATGTGTAAACAAACGGGGAAATCCGTGGATAAATGGCAAAGAGATGAGCGGGTAGCCGATGACTCAGTAAATGAGCAAGTAAGCAAAGGAATCTACATCTGGACCCATATCTCCATCAGCATCGATCTATGAACGAATACAAGGCTGACTGTACGGCTGAGAGAATGGGTAAGATGAGGTAAGCTGCAGTAAGTGAAGAAGTAAATGAGCGGACGGTGGTAAGTGGATGAGTGAGGGAGGGACAAATACCCTCTCAGTCCTGAGCGGCTCAGGCACATGTCATGGTCCTCAGAGCCACGCTGGGCCAGTGCAGGCGTGGGGAGGCATTCTAAGGGCGGCACACAAATCCCCGGGAAACCTGGGAGCTACACCGACCAGCGCTGGCCCCGCAGAGGCCATGAGCACCCAGAGTGGACACGCACCGTCCTCAGCAGCCGGGCAGCCGGGATCAATGACACAGGGCACTTTCTGGGAGCTCAGGGAGCTGCATGCCTGGAGCGGCGGTGGGTCGCCTGGGAAATTCCAGGAGCCTGCGCGGTGGGGCGTGGGGGGAGGAGGGGGGCCAGTGAAGGAACGGGGGTGGGGGGGTGGGTGCTTGGTTTTGCCATTGCCCAGCTAAGAGCAGCCAAGTGATTTCCAGCAAATTCTAGGACAAATGTTTGCCTTGAGGCTCAGGACTCCGGTGCCAAGTTTCAATCTAATCAAATACTTCTGGGTTTGGGAGGAGAAAGGAAGGGAGATGGGGAGGGAGAGAGAGAGAGAGAGAGAGAGAGAGAGAGAGAAGAAATGCAAGTAGGTGGCATGGCGGGGGGGGGGGGGGGGGGAGGGAGAAGAGGCCCAGGGTGGGATGCAGACTTTCCTTTGAGGACTGTGGTGCTGCCAGGGGGAGCTGTCCAGGGACTCCCTTGCCTGCCGGTGGCCAGGCAAACTCATGTCAGAGTTGGGGTGACTGCTGGTGCTCAGAGGGCTGTGAGGCAGCCTCAGGTTCTGCCCCAGTTGGGATTCAAGTGTGGGGGTCAATGCAGGGGTTGACTTTCTGAGCCAGGGACGTGGGGCCACTCTGGCAGCACCAACAGGGACGCAGACACGGGGAGGGGTGTGACGATGTCTGTGTAGGGAGCTGGGGGAACAAACTCTGCCTTGCTCGCCTGGCTCACCCCTCGGCATGCAGGCCGCTGGGACAAGGAGCAGGTGTGGCCGGGGAAGGCCATGGCTATTCTGGATGGAGCTGGGGATGCCACCAGGGGCGGCGGTACCTGGGGAGGGAGAGAGGGGAGGTGGCCACCACTGCCCTGTGGCCGGCACGGGGCAGAGAAAGCAGGCAGCAGGGGACGTTGTAAGGACAGGTTTCCCGAACCCAAGCCAGAGCTTCTGGGGGGTCAGGAGTCACCTGTCCTTGTAGGGACCCCGTTTCCCCGCCCACAATGCCCCTGGTGACACCATCCCAGCACTGGGGGCAGGTCGCCTGGGTGGCTGCTCAGGCTTCTCCCCTTTGAAGTCCACACCTGAACCCCAGGTCCCCTGCCTGAGGACTATGGAGCTGACAGTGACTGGAGACTCGGGGAGGGTCCCCTGGCACCTGGGCACCTTGCCTGGTGATATTGACAAGGGAGGACATCCGCCAGGGACCACTTCTTGGGTTAAGAATGCCCTCCCCCTGGTCTTTGAAAGCAGACCTGTTCCTGGGTGAGGTGGGGCCTGGAGGGTTCATAGGTGTGATACCAGTGGATGTCTCCTGTGAGCTGAGGACCGGGCCCTGGGAGGCAGGGAGCAGCCAGCTCTGGAATTCAACCTCCTGGGAGAGTCCCGCCCGACCACTTTCCAGATGGCCACTGGGCAACGTCACCTCGGTTTCCACGTCTGTGAGCTGGAGAGGACGCGCAGGCCGCCCCGACAGGTGGGTGGAAGGTGCTGGTGACTCAGGAAAGCGCTCTATCAGCTCGGAAGGGCCGTCTGGACACCGTGACGAAGGCATGTGTGCAAAATGCTGAGCCTGTGGCTGTGCTAAGGGTCCAATAAATGTGGACTATGATGATTATTGCTGCCATTATTATTACCACGGTCAGGTTGCAGTGCTGTCCCCGGGAGGTTCTCCTTCCGCAGGACTCCGGGCACCTCGCGCGCAGCCAGCAGTGGTCGGAGGAGCTTGTCACCACGCGCGCGTATCCTCACTTCCCCTGCGGAGACACTGACCTGTGGCTGGGACACGCCCCCACTCCCCAGGGAGGGGCTCCACGGCAAAGCCACCTTCTGTGCCACGCCCGCATTGGCCTTGTTTGAAAGGGATGTTCCTACCTCGATTTATTTGATGACCCCAACCAACCCACGACGCAGGGGCTGTTACTGTCCCATTTGACGGAGGAGGTCAGTGAGGCCCCCAGGGGGCCCAGAGCCAGGCAGGAGCCGGGACTGGAGCCAGAGCTCACGTCCCGTCACACCGCGTGAGCCCAGGACCCGAGGACTGGCTAGTGGCCGAACTGTGCTGTGGAGGACTTAACGGCCCCAGCCCATCAGGACCAGCAGTGGAGGAGCAGGGACGCGCACCCACAGGGAAGAGCACCCTGACATCAACACGGGAGGGGGTGTGTGCGGGCAGCGATGGGGTGCGGGGGAGGGCTGCACAATGCCAGGCTGGCCCCTCCACCTTTCTACTGTGTGATGAAGGACAGAGCAGGGCTGCCTGTGCCCACACCCGGCCGGCTGCCCGTTTTGCCGAAGATGGTTTGATTGGCGGGGACCCAGCTCATGCCTTTGCCTGTCTCCGCAGGCACTTTCCCAGGGCGGCGAGGGCGGAGTTGAACATTCAGAACAGGGGCTGTCTGGCCTGTAAGGCCCAAAGAACTTACTATCTGACCCTCTGCAGAGAGAGGTGTGCTGCCCCATGGATGGATGGTCCCTGCTCTGGAACCTCAGCCCCCTTGGTGGAACATGAGGGGTGAGGCTTGAGCGGGTGAAGTGTGAGGTTGCACCAGCGGCCAGGGCTCTCTGAGGCCCGCTGCTGCGGTCCCGGTAGGTGTAGGCTGGCCAGTGCACCTGTCACACGCAGGGCCTCGTGCTGCTGGTGCAGGAGGCAGGAGAGGAGAGCAGTTCGGGGCAACCCTGGGTCCAGCTCTGACCCTGCTGTCTTCTCAGTTTTGTGACCTCGAACGGCTGCTTCACTCTTCCTGAGTCAGGAACAAGGGGTCACACGCCTGAGAGGAAAGGGGCACGTGGAGGAGGGGACCCCCTGAGTCAAGGCCCAGGTG